CATGCTACTAGCAATATTCATCCTGTCTGCAGACTCTGCAATCTAGTTGACCTTGGCCTAGAGATGCAGCCTGCAGAACTCATGACAATGAACTAAGCATTTACCAGCCTGAGCATAGACAGCCTGTCTCCACTAAACATTTGCTAATACAACAGATGTCTAACAAATATCTATCTGACTAAGAAATTACCTAACACTACACTTAATTGCATACAACACATCACTCTGTTTATGTCTGGGTGTTTTGTCTTTCGAGTGTACCAGTCTCTACTGCAGGGTGTTCCCTAGTTTAAAGTTAACTGGGATATTGTGGTTGCGAAATATCCTTTTTAACTTCTCTGATAAACCAGCCACATAAGGGATGACAGTGTTATCCCCTCTTGTTTCTGGTTTCTCCCTGTTGGTGTTGGGCCTCTTCCTTGCTTTGGTGAAGGCCCACTTAGGGTATCCACAAGCCCTAAGGGAGTTCTGGATGTGTAGTTTCTCCTTCTTGGCCCCTTCTGCAGTTGTGGGCACTTCCTCTGCCCTGTGATTTAAAGTTCTGATAACTCCCAGTTTGTGTTGAAGTGGATGGTGTGAGTCAAAAAGCGGGTATTGGTCCGTGTGTGTAGGTTTCCGATATACTTCTACCTTCAGGCTTCTATCCCCTCCCAAGTGGACTGTACAATCCAGAAAGGCCAGACCGTCATCTTTGGCATCCTCACGAGTGATAAATATCTCCGGCTCAACACCAGTCAGTCAGAACTGAATGAGAGGTGAAACGTCTTCGATCTAGAAATCTAAGTCCAGTTGATTTTTTCTAAGGTTTTTTTCAGTTTACGATGACCTGGATGACCGAGAATCTGCACAGACATTTATTCTGAAAAGTTTGCTCCTTTCGAATGAATGGGGAAATTCTACTTAATCATATTTTCAGGTAGATATGCCTTTCAGGTGTCAAAATGTTCAGCATTTTCAGGGCAATCCTTCAGCACACAGCACCCACACACATTTATGACAGGAAATGCATTTCTGTAGTTATTATTCTGGTTTATTCCACTGTTTTTTGGCACGTTATAACTCCAGCATACTTACGCCTAGAAAGGCCATTCAAGTATCCAAATGTTCAGCTTTTTAAGGACATGCACTTCTCCTCATCTTCTTTGTAACATTTATACTTTTTAATAAATTCAGCATTTTTCACAAAAAAATTCCCATTCACAATTTTTCTAAACTTCATACCTGAAATATTTAGCTTTATTTTGAAACTTTTGCCCCATTCAAATGAATGAGGGAAATTCTATTTCAGCATAATTTCAGCTATCAAAATGTTCAGCTCTTCAAGGACATTAATGCTCCTATTCAGAATTTTTCTAAACTTCATATTTTTACATATTTAGCTTTATTTTGAAAAATTCTCACCATTCAAATGAAAGGGGAAATTCTGCTTCAGCATCCTTTCGGCTATTTCAGGTATCAAAATGTCCAGCTCTATTTGGACATTCATGCTTCTAGTCAGAATTTTTCAAAATTTCATACTTATATTTTGAAAATTCAAAGGAAGGGGAAAATTCAACTTCAGCATACTTTCAGCTAGCAAAACCATTCAGTTGTCAAAATGTTCAGCATTTAAAGGGCAATCTTTCAGCACTTAGCATCCATACACATTTTTTTCAGAAAATGCATTTGTCTAGTTTAAATTTTGCTTCAAACAGCACGTGTGTGATCTCTGCTCTGTTTACTCTGCTCTACTAGCTTTTGCTTGAATATATTTTCAGCTGTGATTATTTCATCTGTTTTGATCTGTGGTTGTGCTAAGTGAAGAATATCTTTAAATTACTCCTGTAAAATGTCAAATTAGAATATATTTAATTTCAGCATTTAATGTAACTCTTTTCTTTGTTCCCAGCATACACCAGAACAATTCCTGGAGGTCAAACTGGAGTCCTACAACACTCGCTTCTTCCACATCAAGGAGGACTTTTCTTTTACTGAGGTGACCTTGCACACTGGATGTCAGTTTTTCAACACTGGCTTTCTATCAAGTTGTTCATATTTAAATGTTCTACTGTAAGGATGAAAATGTTTTTTCCAGGCAGGGAGGGGAGCTGTATAGGAGCTAGTGTTTTTGGAAATGGAGTATATATGTCAGAATATTGCAGACTTTACTGCTTCAGTTTTGTCTGTTCTGTTTTCAGTCAGTATTTTGCAAGTTCCTGTGGATGTGCAAAACTAACACTCAGGAGTAACCTTGTACTACTATGTAAAAACCATGGAATTGAGCTCCAGAAATGAGGCTCACATATGCACTGATAGATTTCTAAATCTAAGGCAAATGCTCTTTTTAAACTTTCTTTTGCATCTCACTTTGCTATTATGTTTTAGTGGTTTTCTTTCTGACACACTCTATTTGAGCTATGTATTCCATTGTTTTATTGGGTTCCTGATATTAATTCCCTGAACATGATTGGCTGTCTGTGTTTTTACAGGTGAATGGCAGGAAGTTGTACCAACCAGAAGATGGAGTGCAGCTGACTGTGATTGATGGGCATGATGGGAAAGTGGTGGAGAGCAAAAACTTCAGGAACTCTATCCTACAGGGCATCCCTACACAGATAGACAACTACATCAGTGGACTGAGAGATGAGTATGGCGCTGCTCCTCTGCTGTTCAGCTTTGCTAAAAATCCAGCTCTTTTGACTGCCATTCAATTTATTATTATTTATGACTTACCACCATATTGTGGAAAATTGTTACTTACATGCTAGAACTTAAAAGACACACAAAGCTTCTATCAGCTGAATGGGAACACTAAAACAATGTGCTGTGTCTCACTCTTTCTCCAGCACCATCATCCTCATGACGTCTAAGGGCCGTTTGGTTACCAAAGGATCCTGGACTAAAGTCCTGGAGAGACTTGGTGCAGACAAAAACATCAAATTGAAAGGTGACAAATTACATCTGTACCCAGATCTAGTGAGACAAATGTGCTCACAGTGGGGCATTTCAGCATGACTGAATACCTGAATGGCACCGGACACAACATAATTTTCAACAAACATGCAGGATATGACATTGCTGCTTCATTGGCTACATTTTATCCAGTTAACCATTTTAAAGACGTGTTCTGTTAAAAAAAAAAGTGGTCCTATAATGATGTTTCATATATCATTATGTAATTATGTATTATAATACAAATAATCACCAGTTTTCATTACTCTAGAATGATACAATCTTAAAGGGACTTGGAAAAATTACAGTGTCATGTGTTTGTAAAAGTAAGCAACCTGTGTGCTCAGTCTTTACTTGTTTAATTACAGCTAAAAGAATCAAAAATAAAAAAGAACACAATACTCAGAAATCTGGTAAAGAGTGAAAGACATTAATATGAAACTACACAAAGAAATAAAGTATCAATTTTTTTATACTTTTAAGGGTCTGTTCATCCAAATTACAGAAGAAATATTGTTTTTTTTAATCATTTCTATGAGATATTCAATTTCAATTTTCAGTTTTATCTGTATAGCGCCAAAGCACAACAAATGTCATCTCAGGACACTTTACAGATTATTATTATTATTTTTATAAAGGGAAAACGCCAACAAATCTCTCTTGAGCAGCACTTGGAAACAGTGGGCAGAAAAAAACTCCCTTTAACAAATGAAACCTCCGACAGACCCTGGCTCTTAGTGGGCGGCCTTCTGCCTCGACCGGTTGGGGTGAGTGGATAGAAGAGAGAGAAAAGAAAAGAAAAGCAACAAGACACAGCAAACAACAATAAACAATCAGACACTGGGCAGGTTGATGTAGCCGGTGACTGCTCATCAGAAACATAGAGCTCCAGAGCCAGGGCTACCTGCAGAAAGGTACAGGGAGAGAGAGAGGACACACTACGGGAGAGAGGAGACACACATGTAATGATGGCATATAGATGCATGGAGAGAGAGGAGAGGAGAGAAACTCAGAGGATCATGGCAAAGTGCTCTGTTAGGATGATAAGGCTCTATGAGGTCTTTAAGATACGATGGAGCCTTGTCATTAAGGGCTTTCTATGTTAGGAGAAGGATTTTAAATTCTATTCTGAATTTTACAGGGAGCCAGTGAAGAGAAGCTAGATGGATATTATATCTGCCTACTTATAAGCTCTATCAAAAGGGAAAGTCTTAAATCTAATTTTAAAGGTAGAGAGGGTGTCTGCCTCCCGAACTGAGACTGGGAGCTGGTTCCATAGGAGAGGAGCTTGATAGCTAAAGGCTCTGCCTCCCATTCTACTTCTGTGGATTCTAGGAACCACAAGTAAACCTGCATTCTGAGAGCGAAGTGCTCTGTTAGGATGATAAGGCTCTATGAGGTCTTTAAGATACGATGGAGCCTTGTCATTAAGGGCTTTCTATGTTAGGAGAAGGATTTTAAATTCTATTCTGAATTTTACAGGGAGCCAGTGGAGAGAAGCTAATATGAGAGAGATATGATCTCTCTTGCTAGTTCCTGTCAGTACTCTGGCTGCAGCATTTTGGATTAACTGGAGGCCTTTTAGGGAATTATTGGGACATCCTGATAGTAAAGAGTTACAGTAGTCCAGCCTGGAAGTAACAAATGCATGGACCAGTTTTTCAGCATCACTTTGAGACAGGATGCCCCTGATTTTTGTGATATTGCGCAGGTGAAAAAAAAGGTAGTTCTAGAGATTTGGTTTATGTGTGATTTAAAGGACATATCCTGGTCAAAAATGACTGCAAGATTTCTCACAGCAGCACTGGAGGCCATAGTTATGTCATCTAGAGTAAATATATAGTTAGACAGCAGATTTCTAAGGATTTCAGGCCCAAGCACAATGACTTCATGTTTGTCAGAGTTTAGAAGTAAGAAATTGGAGGTCATCCAGACCTTTATGTCGTTAAGACATGCTTGACATTTCACCAACTGATCAATATAAATTCCTGGACATTCCTGATAATATCACCTAAAGGGAGCATGTATAAAGTAAAGAGAAGGGGACCTAGCACAGAGCCTTGTGGGATGCCATGACTAACTTCAGTATGCATTTTCTGGACACTGCCTAGACAACCAGCGGTTTAATGACGACATGCAGCTAAACATGTTGTCACTGGTCAGATTGGGCAGGGGTCCAGAGAAAACTATGGAGTCCGACATTATTTTGGCAAAGTTACACACCAGCTCACCATTAATTTTAGTGACCTCCTACTGGCGAGGCTGGGAGTCATTAGCACTGATGTGAATAACAACCTTACTGTGTATTTATGCTTATCCTTAGTAAGAAGCTTCAAGATCCAATGTCGCCTGCTCTGGCCCCAGGAATACATTTGACTGTGGCCGCCAGTGTCTCTAGCTTCACATTTCTGACTATAGACTCACCAATTACCAGAGTTATTTTCTCAGTGGGGTGTGGCACTGAGTGGGAAAAAATGATTTGAAATGTGAGCAGGTAGGTGATGAACTGTGGACATTTGTTTTGAACTCTTGCAAACTGTCACTCAGCCACCTGGCCGAGTTCCCGGCTGCTTGGGAAGAGCTGGGGGGCAGCTAGCTTGGGTTAAGCTATGTTTAGGAGGCTCCACACTGGCTACATGGGCCTGGCTAGCTGGCCTGTTTTCCATGGTGCAGAGCCGTGCTTCCAATTCAGCGAGCCTCACATCCAATGCTGCTAGCATCTGGCATTTATTACAATTACCATTATTGCTAAAGGAGGCAGAGGAATAACTTGTCATGGTTAGAGTGTGATGCCGACTAAATTAATTCAGACAAACCATCCCAATTTAAGTGATCATTTAATATTACAATTATTCTGAACAGAGTAGCAGTTGAATAGACAGTTAGGGAACAAAGAATAGAGACTCTCCTCCTGCAATGTGAAGTATTAACTGATTTTGTGCAGTCAAAACCACAATATCACATTCCATACACTAGCTCTTGCAGCTCAGCAGTCTCTCTCCTTGCTCTGGGACTACAGGAAATAGAGTTTGAAAAAGTCAGCATGACTCACACTGTCTTTATTATTGTCCCACTGATGAATACTTAAGAGGGGGACCCCGCCCTTTGTTCATAGGTCCCTTTGCCCCAGGGTGGCCCTGTTGACCCTGGGCCAGTCTGCCACGAGACCACTCGGGGCATCTGTCTCTCACATGCCCCCACTTTCCACAGTGGAAGCACCTTGCTCTTTGGCCTGTAGGAAACCTTCTTGTCCTCTGAAGCCTTCCAGCCCACCCCCCTGGCTGTGCGTATATCAGCTGGGGGATGACGATGGCAGGCACTGAAGGTGGAGAGGGTCCAGCTGACTCAACAGGAGTCACAGGCACCTTTTCTTCCATCTTTTGCCAGCCGGGGAACAAAGCACCCCTTCACGTTGGTATGACATTGGATGAACAGAATGGGGGAGTTTGGGTGTAGCTCCCCCTTGGTCATAACTCAGCTCAGCTTCTGGCTTTGGTCTGACGATGGGCACCCGTGTAGCACCAGATGGAGGAGAGCAGAGCACCTCCCCTTTTGCCACCTCACTGCACTCATGGTCTGTCTTTATCTCTTCTTCCTGCACAAACTTCACAATCTGATTATGAGTCTCATTTAAACGTCTGGGATTTTTACCAGAAAGCTTTAATGCTTTTACATATATGTCAGGCAAATCAATTATTTCATCTTCCAGCTGCTCCA